ATTAAGAAAAATCTTGTACCCACTTTATTACCATAGGAAGATAGTGTATATTGTTGTCTATGCTTAAGATAACAAGAATCAAGCATTCTACTTTGCTTCCTGGTGGAAGTTTAGCAAGGAAGGGAAATGTGCTATGTCAGCTTTCCCTTTATGCTAGAGGACAAACGAGGTGGGGCGAGAAACGTCGGAGGTTAGATTGCTTTTGACCCTGGGATAACCAACATTGATCCGCGCGTTTTTGTGCATAAAAGTATCTCAAAGAGCACATATTAACACTTAGAGAAGTGTGGTCAGCTTCTATAGTGATAAGATTGTGAATAATAAAGATAAACCTTGTGGAACATAGTGTACCAGTGTGTGTATTCTTAGATTGTGGAAGACATGGGCATTCAAGGACACTTCAGCTTCTAACAAGTCAACAATATCTGTCGAAGGTGTAAAGAACATCATAGCTCACGCGACAAGAGCAAGGTAGGTTTCAAACTATCTTATTATACAGGGAACTGTGCAGTTCTTGTGTCGCAAAGGGTTTGAAATCATACTATAGTTGGCAGCGAGGTGTGGACTTTTGAGTCCACACACGTGAGTATTCCAGTCAGCAATCAGTTTCTGAGATATGCTGACATAATGTCCCCTAGGGGTAATTCACCCATAATAAATTTTCCAGCCCGTGAGGTAGTGCATCAGATAGCGTCTCAAGACATCGCCTGCAGGGATAGCTGTGTAGGCGAAAGCTGTCTTTCAAAATAAGTCCCCCTACAGTCCACTATTTAGTCTTTGACTTAGCTTGTAGCATTATCCTCAACAGTTAACAATCCAAGTCACTACTATATGTGGGCTGTTTGTATTGTTCCAGCCATGGCATTATGCCATATTATTCTTTCAGGATGCTGAGAGACAGAACCTGTAGGGTTAGTACCCCATTAGTAGGTGGGATCATATGACTATAAAACCCCAGAAGAGAGTGTGAGTCTGACAATTACGTTTCTGGAGATAGTCGGAGCACATCCCACTACCTCCACCTCAACTTCCAACACCATGTACCTTCCTACCAATTGTGGTTCTTCTGTCATGCCCACTCCTGCCTATGACGACATCGGGATAGCTTATTGTGTTCCTAGCCCATGTGGGTATGGGATTGGGGAAACTGGATTTGGGTAGGAAGTAGCCTGGCTTCGGCGGGTAACACCCGGTTTCAGCTCTCCTGCACCTGTACTGTCTAGTGGTAAGTACTTTTTTTTTTAGTTCTGTCTTTCTGATATTTTTACACATTTAAGTGTTTAGCTAAGCGCTTGATTCCGAATACGAGCTTGTTGTTACTTAGGCTCCTTAAAACGAACTGGTGCGTTCCTCATCATTTTCTTTGTCAGTACACAGGAGATAGTTTTGTTTGATGTCCCATTGATTATATTACTCCTAACTGGGCCAATGAAAGTTCTAGTGGTTAAGTATATAATAAGGAATGTTATGGGGATATTTATGAAATTTAGTGTAATACGGATTACTGATGGTCAGAGAAGTGTAAATCCATGATTCATGAGTGAGCTGTAGTCTTAAGATTTGGTGTTTATGAACATGTTATTAATTTCATTCGGTAGCCTGCATCTAAAATATTTCAAAGAATATTGGGTGTTAATAAATAATTTTTTTCTTTTGACAGATATGACAAAAGTGTGTTCCTCATTGGGATGAATGTTAGGCGAAATTCAGATTGTGATAATTGCGCATCATCTTCACTATTTCACGATGAGGATAAAGCAGATGAAACAGTGGGGTATCGCAGAATATGCAACTCCTTCTGAGTGTGGTACGCGATAGTGTGAATGCGATTGTCAGAATAATACAGAATCAACAAGAGACTGTGAATATATTAACCAAAGTGAAATCAGATACTGAGAAACGGGGGAAAACTTCAGCGAGATCGTGTTATGTGTTCAGTCGCCAGACTGATGTATGGGGAAGATTAGATTTTGATTTTGCCACCGAAGTGGCTAGTTTATTGTGCACCCCATATCCATCCTGTGGACGGTAGCGCGAGAGCATATGAATACACAAAAGGCCTAGGAACTAGGCCACGAAAGGGTTAACAGGTGTACATATGGGTTTTTATTTATCTACATATCTACAGTTCACTTATCTGTTACAAACAAGTTTAGGAAATTTGCTTAGTATATCTGGTATCTTATTTTCATTAATAAGATATCTTGACATGTCACATAGGTTATTATACTGTCTGTCTCTATATTCCTTAAAAAGTGGCCAATTAAGTACATAGTGTTCAAGACAGTGACCATATGCCTGATCACATAATTTGCATTTAGCTTGATCATCATCTGTGTGTCTCCCAAACTGCCAGAAGTACTTGTAACCAAGCTTAAGTCTGGCCACTACAACATCAGTCAGTCTGTTCACATTGCAAGTTGCTCCATAAGCATATCTACGTTCATGTTATCATAGTGGGTTATAGATCTACTCAGGCTTCTAACTGCATTCCTATGACAATCCTTTTCATTATTTACTTCTCTCCTAATATTATTTCTAATGCTAGACACAGATATGCCAAATCTATATTCTACATTCTCCTTCTGGGTACTCTTCTTGGCTAACATATCAACTTTATCATGAAGGAGTAATCCAATGTGTGATGGGGTCCATAGCAATTGTATATTAATTCCTTTGTCCCTGATTTTTGAGTATCTATACCTGGCCTCTCCAATGAGCATGTTGTTGGAGTCATTATATGAGTCAAGAGCCTTCAGTGATGACATAGAATCAGTAATGATGACAGAGTCAAGCTCAGTGTTATAGGTATGGGGAAGTCAACTGTAGGTGGTGAATAATTCTGCTCCAATTGAGAGAGAGAAATTAATAAATATCATTTCCGATCACCTGACTTGGGTATTGAAGACCCACGTATTAGTGATATTTTTTCTGAGGATAAGCTGATCAGTAGTGGGAGTATAAAATGACTCCCTCCCTCTCTTACGATAATTTCTGGAAAACTCAGCCAAAAAAAAGCGAAGAGGGTTAATTAATATGGAAATGAGTACTCAGGTTGTAATTAACGTAATGAAAGAACTCAATACGGATGTAGATATATGAAAAGAAAGTTGCATGTGCTAGAAGTGCGTCATCCGAAATGGTGACTTCTTCAACTGTTTATCAAGTCAAAAATTTAGAAGAAATAAACAAGGAAAAATGAAAAGTTGACGTTCTGGATATCGCCTTTCCACAGAAAATCATCTCCATCAATACTGCATATGAAGCCTGCGATCAACCATATAGACGGTACGAGCAGAGAAAGTCACTTCTCCCCCGTGTACCCCATAATCTTTACACAGAAGATAATGCACCGAGACTTATACAGTGGGGCAGAGCCCGTCACGATTCAAGAAAATTGATGGGCAGTGCGTAAACAAACTTGTACGAATAAAGAAAACGTAATAAATTGTAAATTAATCTTTAAATATCCATTTTATTTCTATGCTGAATTTATATCACTGTTGCATGCAATGAGTATGCACCTTTTATTCGGAGCATGTGAACACGCTCATAAAAGGCTACCTCCCAACCAGTGAACCAGGTAGCTAAGGATTTGATGATTTCGGGGCCCCATCGTCAAAACACCAAGGTTCAGCCAGTCATATTGTGGAAACTGGCAATTGTGAAGGTGACGTGGACACAACTCACATTCTCACCCTCGTCATTTACACCCAGCTGCTGGTTGAACACGGTTGTCCAGTCTGTCTCCAGGCTGTGTCTTTGCCTTTGATTAACCGTGTTGTACACATACATTTCCAACTGCATATAGTGTACATACTTGTAAATACTTAAAATCGCACTTGGTGAAGGAGAATATAATTCAAAGTCATTCAGCTGTGTTTGTTCTGTTCTTTGCTCTCCTTTAAACCCAGGCTAACAGGCCATATTGTTCCTGGGTTGTAATAGTCGCCAGTCAAGAATAATACCACGAGTGTAGTCTGTACTGCTTACTTACCTCTTCTCATTTTTCTTTAAGAAATTATATATATATATATATATATATATATATATATATATATATATATATATATATATATATATATATATATATATATATATAAATTTTCATATTTTCATATAGTCGGACTTGAGTCCTGGAAATGGGAAGTACAATGCCTGCACTTTAAAGGAGGGGTTTGGGATATTGGCAGTTTGGAGGGATATGTTGTGTATCTTTATATGTGTATGCTTCTAGACTGTTGTATTCTGAGCACCTCTGCAAAAACAGTGATAATGTGCGAGTGTGGTGAAAGTGTTGAATGATGATGAAAGTATTTTCTTTTTGGGGATTTTCTTTCTTTTTTTTTTTTGGGTCACCCTGCCTCGGTGGGAGACGGCCGACTTGTTGAAAAATATATATATATATATATATATATATATATATATATATTATATATATATATATATATATATAATATGTTTATAATAGCGATTGGCATGAAGGATCAGCAGGACATTTGACTGACTGAGCAGCCACAAAAATAAGAAAAAGAGATACAAGCGCATAATTAACACACTGGGTGAGTGGGTGAGTGAGCCTGGCGCACCCTGCTACATAAACAACCTCCAGATAAATTCGTAGTTCGGAAGAGGCTATACTAAGTTTCACCCAGGTTTTCTGACCTCGGGTGATAACGGAAGAGGTCGTATACTGCTTCCCCTATAAAATATGGTCAAAAGTCTGCTACGTATGTGATTCAGATCTTTATTTTGGATAATTAGAGGTAGGTGTCTATCAGATACTTGACCCAAATTTTCTGATATCAAAATAAAAGCAGCTGTAGTTGCAGTATAAACATTGTCACATCAGCAGATTTTATACTTGTATATCCCTTAACATGGGGATGATGATAAACTGACAGATTTAAACAGCCAACTCATCTCGTTGGTTAATGTTGAGTGAAGGGTGAAGTAGGAATGATAATTGTTCTTATAAAAATTACCATTGCCACCAACAGGCACAGGAACAGTGGTAGTGAGACTAACAGACGTCAACGACAACTCTCCACGACTGGCACGACGGGAGTGGGAACTGGAGGTGGACGAAACTTGGGGTGATGGTCCGCCTGGCAACGACACTATCCTTGAGATCTCGGCCACCGACCGCGACACCACCAACTACTTCTTCTACAGGGTAAGTAGTTAGCAGGAGGAAAGCCAAACAAGTAACAGGGTGATTCGTTCAACTTGTCCTCTTAACTCGTAACATTGGATTTTACTATTTGGTTTTAAGTTGCTTCTCTATACACCTGGCCTGGTCACAGACCGGGCCGCGGGGGCGTTGACCCCCGGAACTCTCTCCAGGTAAACTCCAGGTAAACACGAATACAGTTTAGGTTACTTTCATGTAAATAAAACAAATATAATTTATTTGTAACATAATACAAATAAATGCACAAAATTCTAATCGAGAATTTTTTTTTTTGATTATGTAATGTAATACAAGGATTATGGAAAGGATGGAGTTAGTCATACACCGCCAAACTAAATTTGTAGCTTTATCTCAAGGTCTGTAACGCCTTGGCAATAAATCGGAACAAATAAAATCTTAGATATGACTGGTTTATTCAACTCTACAATATACAGGAAAGAAATTATAGGATGGGTTTTCGCCTATCATGGGTTATCTGAAATCAGAGTAAAACTTCAGATCCTAAAACGAAGTTCTTGTTTTAAAATCTTTGTCTGAATCAAACACATTAAGGAGGCTGGCAAATATCTTGCGATGAAGAGTCTGACAGTTACCAGTGTTTGAAATGTGATGTAAACTAAGAGTTTCCAATTAAATTCTTTGCCCTTCACTGAAGAGAATTTTTGTGTCAAATATTAATAAGAGCAGAAACTCAGAATTAAACTTTACTAACAAAAACTTATGTAAATGTTAGGTTAGATATTTTATCGGTATGTTAATTTGTGTATATTGATTAAGTTAATAACTGTGCTTAAATCGAACACTTTTTGTACACAGGAGAATAAAATTTATGACGACCTTTCGGTCCGACTTGAAGCGTTGTCGTAAGTTTCATTCTCCTATATGAGGGTTGTGTGTATTGTTCCACTCTCGATATTGTGCATTTTTATTCATCAGATCATTTTTATATTGGATATAAACCATTTTTTCTGCTTGGCAGTTATTCTGAATATTTTTTTTTCAGCACTGATTATGTGGTTTAATACTCCGAAACACATGAAGATTCTTGCATATTTAACGGAGATGCTAAGGCTTTGGTATTTCTGTTCCTTCATCGTCTTAGATTTTCTCAAGAAAATTCTCTTTCTGAAGTTATATTAAACATATATATTTGTAATTACATAGCTTCAGCTACTTCATGTGGTTAGTTCCCGAAAAGAACTAATAATCTTTCTATTCACCATCTTGGTGAAATTGTTGATATGAAGAGGCTGAAACTTCACTCGTCTCCTACATAAAAAATATTAAGTGTCTGTAGGTCTTTTAGAATTAAATATAGCCCATATAAATACCCCGGATATTTTAGGAACCAAGCTTACCACCTCATATAGTGGCCTATTTTATCTTATAACAGTGTTGCTAAGACAATCTCATCGTGAATCTCTATTATCATCTTCTGATAAAGAAGTATTCAATCTCTTAAGCTCAAATAGTAACTTCTCTTATCTCCTCATAGCAGACGGTGATACACCTCATCTCTCAACCCACAAAAGGTTACACAATGCGACCCGTAAATACTGGCAGTGCTATAATTTGTCTCTTACCCTTAAGATTGTTACTGAATCCAAGACTGTAACAGTATAGTTATCTACATCATATTGAAATACAACCTCCTTCCTGAGCCATAGGCTGTGACTAGAGATTTGCCAAGTATCGGAATCGTTATCAGAGGATATCGGCCATCTTTATGACAACGGTATTGATTAAAATATAGCCGATACCGGCCGATACTTTATAAAATAAATATCACATGTGTGCTTAAAAATATCAACATTAACACTCTACCTCACGATTGTGAGGTAGTGTTAATGTACACACACACACACTCACACTAAATCACACTCACACTAAATCCACTACAACACACGTTATTGGCAAGTGCTTTTAAGGACCAGAAACCATCACAACAGACCAAATAATGAGTAATGACATCATTATCCCCAAGAAATTAAGTTATTTAATATTTAACCTTCCTGTGTTATTTAATACACATTGTGCATATTGAATATAGTTATTACATTTTTAAAAACCAAAGAATATAGGAAAGTATCGGAATTGGCCAAAATTTTGGTATCGACCCATCCCTAGTTGTGACTCTTGTTTCCCTGCTGAAGGTGGTTGAAGCGAGCGGGTGGGGTTGGGAGCACTTCGGGTTGCGCGCAGCAGGTAGCACGGGTCAGCTCTACGCTACAAAGACGCTTGACTACGAAGATGAGACCCACCGTCGGGGCTTCCGCTTCCTCGTGCAAGTCACAGACATGGTACGTCTGAGTTTTGTGTGAACACAAGCGTGAGCACTACAGGCATGCAAGAAAACACATACCTTCTGTCATCACCACTGTAACTACACATTCTGATACTACCAGCACTGCTGATACTACACTTCTACCTCTTATCACTACAACTGCCTTACCATGAGAGAAGACGCCATCTTCAACAATACATACACGATATACTCACAACAACACGACAATTCATTATGTAAATCTACTTCCCCCACCACCACTTCCCACCTCAACAAGCAACACTCCACATCATAATCCCTCATCATTAACACCACAGCTACTAACATCACATCACTACCATAAACACCCCACCTACCACCACTACAACAAATAAAACATCAATGTCACTACCACCACCTTCCTTATCAAAATAACATCTTATGATTTCTGTTACCACAACCACCCACACACCACCACCACCATCAATAACTACTACTACTATCACAACCACCAATACACCAGCATTATCACCGCCACAATCACCACCACCCAGCTACACATCATGACCACCATAACCACCACTACCCTGGTACACATCATCATCACCACCACCAAATACTACCATAACTGTTGCTCACCACCATCCCACAATCACCGTCGCCACACACACAAAGCCTCAACCACAACCCTGAGCTCCACTTGAATCACCATCCGTCTGCACTACCACCACCACAATAACAACCACCACCATCACCACCCCCATTGCCAATTGCCACATTTCTCTGCTGCAATATCACCAACTCATCATCGCATAATCAGCAACTTTTACACCAATATAGATCCAGTGGAACTTATTACGATCACATAAATCCATTCCCCCCTCCCCCTTCCCCCCCCCAACTCCACAAAGGAAAACGAGAGTCAAAGAGAAGACAATGATTGGAAACACAAGAATGTGTTAATTATGTTGGAGGGAAATTGCAGACAAAATGAAATGTTGGGGTTTGTAGAACTTATTGTCAAGGAATTTGAAAAATTTTATAATCTGAATAAACAGAAATATGAGAGTGAAGAGAAGATGATGGAAAATAATCAGGAAATAGTAGGTGGGAAACAACTGGAATAGGAAAAATAGGAGAAAACAGATAAAAGACATTAACAGCAGTGCGAAGAAGACACAAAGCGTGAAGGAGTCACTGAGGAAAAGATAAGAGATGACAGACATAATTAAGAACACTTATTAAAGGTGGATGGCAAAGAGACGACAATAATAATGAAAAATACTAGAAGAGTAATAAAGAATGATAAAAAGTTATAGAAATTGAGAAGAATTGAACACTTCAATTATAGTTTTTGAGATAGTCAAAATGAATAAAAATACTTAGGTAAAGAAAAGGGGCAGATAGAAAAACAAATAAAAATGTCGAACAAGTGAGAATGAGCCAGGATCCAAATTAATGAATCAATTTTATGAGGAAAGACAAGTTTGTGATAGATACAATAAAACTAATGTTATATTTAGAAAACGATTCGGTGCAATGTAGATAGATAAATTATTGCGATGCACATGAGTAAAGAAATGCGTTTCTGGAGAGAGAAGAGAGGAAAACAAGAGACTAAATGGAAGATAAATGCAGTCATATCAGAAACCAGGAAGAAGCAGACCTGCAGGAAATAAACCAGACCTAGACACCACTAGTATTTTCCCCATCATCTTATCAGAATCCCATGACCACCTATCCCCTCTTCCATATATATTATTCTCATGAAACTAGATATCATAATGCCCAACCCGTTGAGTATCCTCCCACTAACTGAAATATCACCAAATCTACCCACTAAATCCCAACACCTGGACTGACTGTAGCCACATTTACCAAGACATAAGGCAAGAATCAGATGCGTGAAAATGAAGGTAATATAAAACTATAGGTCATGCATAAATGATGATGCCACGACAAACAATTGGTATCAGATGAACATAAGGATAACAGATGTAAACCAGACATATTTACTATAGTTATGGAGCTCATATGAATAGTAACTAATGTAATATTACCAGTAACATATCACGTGATAAAAATAAAAAGAGTAGAAGGGGATGAAGAGGATTGGTTGGCACAGAGAATTCTGATACTATGCAGCAGGAATATAAGCAGCAGAAGGAAGCGAGATAATAACAACAATAGTTTATAATGAAGAGAGCAATAGAATGGAAGTATAGAGCTACTAATTATGGAAGACTTTGTCTCAGAACTGAAATCCAGATGGAGAGACAGATAAACATGAAGAGAAACAGATGGAGACAGTATTGGAAAATTTCTTAAGCTAGCATCTCAAAGGCTTCACAAGCAAGTGATAGAAGAATGAATCAGCAAGACTGGATCTTGTTTTTTCACTAAATAAGGAAGACATTAAAGAAATCAGCTTTGAGAAATTTGTTATACCTATTCACCAGATGGTCCTACATCTCAATTTTCTGTCAGATGAATGAATTAAACAAGTGTTCAGCGTTTAAATCATATTTTTAGGATGCGTTCTGCGCAACAGGAGCATTTTATCAACCCTAGCGAGCAAAAACATATTAAAAATTTAGATATATATGTCAGCATTATATACGTTGTGTGGTATATCTAGTAAATGAAGAGACGAAAAGAGCCAAGAATGGAGTAATAAAAAGAACAGACTGTTAGAGAGGTAATTACATTGGAATGAAAGAATTTCTGAATGAGGCTCAACGGAAAGAGAAATACAATGGAAGACAGTATACGTATGGACCGAGAAGTTAATCAGGATATGCAATGATTTGCACCAGCAAGGAGGGACGAGAGACCCTCATGGTTTGCAAAGAATTGCAGTGAGGCAATGACTAAGATTAAAAGGGCACCAACAACTGATAGGAAATAGAGGACTATGAAAAAGCGGGAAAAAATATAGAATAGTTAGGAACAACTGCACTGGGATATGAGCTAAACAAAAAGAAGTGTAAAGTTAAAGGACACAAGTGCAACTAATGTGACATTTTATTATGGCAACGTTTCGCTCTCCAGGAGCTTTATCAAGCCGTTACAAACAGTACATGGACACAGAGGGTATATATAGGCTCAGAGTGAGGTGCAATACTAAAGTGAGGTGCAATACCTAGAGTCCGAACACTTCGCCAACATCATCCCTTCAAGCGTCACTTGGTTACGTTACGTGGACGACGTCCTCGTAATAACGCCCAAACATTTTGATGTACGGAATCTACAGGCAAGGCTCAACGTAGTTGAACCGGCGATCCAGTTTACACTAGAAGAATCCAATGGCAAACTACCTTTCCTCGACGTCCTCATTCACAAAGTAGACAACAGCCTAAGATTTCAAGTTTATCGGAAACCTACCAATAAAAACGATCTCTGTGATGAATGGTTTGAAAAACCGACAAGTTGAAGATTGAGACACTTATGCAGCATATGGAAATCTTTATTCAGGAAACGTTTCGCCACACAGTGGCTTCATCAGTCCAATACAAAGAGGAAGGCGTAAGGAGAGGAGGAGAATGAGGTAATCAGTCCCTCAACCTGGAGTCGATGTGTTCAGTCCATCAATCTTGTAGAATGTACAGCATAGGGCCGTAGACGTGGCTTATATACTGTAGTGAGGTGACGTGAAGCAGATGGAGGCGGGGTCATAGTGGTACCATCCACTAGTCGAAGTAGGTCTTCGTCCAAAGGTTGAACAAGTGTTGAAGAATTCTTTGTAACAAGATCCCATGATGCTGCAGTGTCCGACAGTTGTGATGAATGGTTTGAAAAACCGACAAGTTGAAGATTGAGACACTTATGCAGCATATGGAAATCTTTATTCAGGAAACGTTTCGCCACACAGTGGCTTCATCAGTCCAATACAAAGAGGAAGGCGTAAGGAGAGGAGGAGAATGAGGTAATCAGTCCCTCAACCTGGAGTCGATGTGTTCAGTCCATCAATCTTGTAGAATGTACAGCATAGGGCCGTAGACGTGGCTTATATACTGTAGTGAGGTGACGTGAAGCAGATGAGAGGCGGGTCATAGTGGTACCATCCACTAGTCGAAGTAGGTCTTCGTCCAAAGGTTGAACAAGTGTTGAAGAATTCTTTGTAACAAGATCCCATGATGCTGCAGTGTCCGACAGTTGTGATGAATGGTTTGAAAAACCGACAAGTTGAAGATTGAGACACTTATGCAGCATATAGAAATCTTTATTCAGGAAACGTTTCGCCACACAGTGGCTTCATCAGTCCAATACAAAGAGGAAGGCGTAAGGAGAGGGGGAGAATGAGGTAATCAGTCCCTCAACCTGGAGTCGATGTGTTCAGTCCATCAATCTTGTAGAATGTACAGCATAGGGCCGTAGACGTGGCTTATATACTGTAGTGAGGTGACGTGAAGCAGATGGCGGCGGGTCATAGTGGTACATCACTAGTTGAGTGGTACTCGACTCAAGGTTGAACAGTGTTGAGATTTCTTGTACAGTCCCTGATGCCTGCATGTGAAGTTGTGATGAAATGTTTGAAAAACCGAAAGTAAAGATTGAGACACTTATGCGCATATGCAATCTTACTTTCAGGATTCGTTTCGCAAACCAGTGGCTTCATCAGTCCAATACAGAGGAAGCGCTAAGGAGATGGAGAATGAGTAATCGTCCTCAACCTGATTCGATGGTACAGTACCATCAATCTTGTAGAATGTACAGCATGGGCCCGTAGACGTGGCTTATTCGTAGTATATAAGCCACGTATATAAGCCACGTCTACGGCCCTATGCTGTACATTCTACAAGATTGATGGACTGAACACATCGACTCCAGGTTGAGGGACTGATTACCTCATTCTCCTCCTCTCCTTACGCCTTCCTCTTTGTATTGGACTGATGAAGCCACTGTGTGGCGAAACGTTTCCTGAATAAAGATTTCCATATGCTGCATAAGTGTCTCAATCTTCAACTTGTCGGTTTTTCAAACCATTCATCACAACTGTCGGACACTGCAGCATCATGGGATCTTGTTACAAAGAAT